TGGCTAGCCACCCAGTCAATAATGACATGAATGTTTGGCTAGCCACAGACCCAGTCAATAATGACATGAATGTTTGGCTAGCCACCCACCCAGTCAATAATGACATGAATGTTTGGCTAGCCACAGACCCAGTCAATAATGACATGAATGTTTGGCTAGCCACAGATCCAGTCAATAATGACATGAATGTTTGGCTAGCCACCCAGTCAATAATGACATGAATGTTTGGCTAGCCACCCAGTCAATAATGACATGAATGTTTGGCTAGCCACACACCCAGTCAATAATGAGATGAATGTTTGGCTAGCCACACACCCAGTCAATAATGAGATGAATGTTTGGCTAGCCACAGACCCAGTCAATAATGAGATGAATGTTTGGCTAGCCACAGACCCAGTCAATAATGACATGAATGTTTGGCTAGCCACCCAGTCAATAATGACATGAATGTTTGGCTAGCCACCCAGTCAATAATGACATGAATGTTTGGCTAGCCACCCAGTCAATAATGACATGAATGTTTGGCTAGCCACACACCCAGTCAATAATGAGATGAATGTTTGGCTAGCCACACACCCAGTCAATAATGAGATGAATGTTTGGCTAGCCACAGACCCAGTCAATAATGAGATGAATGTTTGGCTAGCTACAGACCCAGTCAATAATGACATGAATGTTTGGCTAGCCACAGACCCAGTCAATAATGACATGAATGTTTGGCTAGCCACCCAGTCAATAATGACATGAATGTTTGGCTAGCCACACACCCAGTCAATAATGACATGAATGTTTGGCTAGCCACAGACCCAGTCAATAATGACATGAATGTTTGGCTAGCCACAGTCAATAATGACATGAATGTTTGGCTAGCCACAGACCCAGTCAATAATGACATGAATGTTTGGCTAGCCACAGACCCAGTCAATAATGAGATGAATGTTTGGCTAGCCACCCAGTCAATAATGACATGAATGTTTGGCTAGCCACAGACCCAGTCAATAATGACATGAATGTTTGGCTAGCCACAGACCCAGTCAATAATGACATGAATGTTTGGCTAGCCACCCAGTCAATAATGACATGAATGTTTGGCTAGCCACAGACCCAGTCAATAATGAGATGAATGTTTGGCTAGCCACAGACCCAGTCAATAATGACATGAATGTTTGGCTAGCCACAGACCCAGTCAATAATGACATGAATGTTTGGCTAGCCACCCACCCAGTCAATAATGACATGAATGTTTGGCTAGCCACACACCCAGTCAATAATGACATGAATGTTTGGCTAGCCACAGACCCAGTCAATAATGACATGAATGTTTGGCTAGCCACAGACCCAGTCAATAATGACATGAATGTTTGGCTAGCCACAGACCCAGTCAATAATGAGATGAATGTTTGGCTAGCCACAGACCCAGTCAATAATGACATGAATGTTTGGCTAGCCACAGACCCAGTCAATAATGAGATGAATGTTTGGCTAGCCACCCACCCAGTCAATAATGACATGAATGTTTGGCTAGCCACAGACCCAGTCAATAATGACATGAATGTTTGGCTAGCCACCCAGTCAATAATGAGATGAATGTTTGGCTAGCCACAGACCCAGTCAATAATGACATGAATGTTTGGCTAGCCACAGACCCAGTCAATAATGACATGAATGTTTGGCTAGCCACAGACCCAGTCAATAATGACATGAATGTTTGGCTAGCCACAGACCCAGTCAATAATGACATGAATGTTTGGCTAGCCACCCAGTCAATAATGAGATGAATGTTTGGCTAGCCACAGACCCAGTCAATAATGACATGAATGTTTGGCTAGCCACAGACCCAGTCAATAATGACATGAATGTTTGGCTAGCCACAGACCCAGTCAATAATGACATGAATGTTTGGCTAGCCACCCAGTCAATAATGACATGAATGTTTGGCTAGCCACAGACCCAGTCAATAATGACATGAATGTTTGGCTAGCCACAGTCAATAATGACATGAATGTTTGGCTAGCCACAGACCCAGTCAATAATGACATGAATGTTTGGCTAGCTACAGACCCAGTCAATAATGACATGAATGTTTGGCTAGCCACACAGTCAATAATGACATGAATGTTTGGCTAGCCACAGACCCAGTCAATAATGACATGAATGTTTGGCTAGCCACACACCCAGTCAATAATGACATGAATGTTTGGCTAGCCACAGACCCAGTCAATAATGACATGAATGTTTGGCTAGCCACAGACCCAGTCAATAATGAGATGAATGTTTGGCTAGCCACCCAGTCAATAATGACATGAATGTTTGGCTAGCTACAGACCCAGTCAATAATGACATGAATGTTTGGCTAGCCACAGACCCAGTCAATAATGACATGAATGTTTGGCTAGCCACAGACCCAGTCAATAATGACATGAATGTTTGGCTAGCCACCCACCCAGTCAATAATGACATGAATGTTTGGCTAGCCACAGTCAATAATGACATGAATGTTTGGCTAGCCACCCAGTCAATAATGACATGAATGTTTGGCTAGCCACAGACCCAGTCAATAATGACATGAATGTTTGGCTAGCCACAGACCCAGTCAATAATGACATGAATGTTTGGCTAGCCACAGACCCAGTCAATAATGAGATGAATGTTTGGCTAGCCACACAGTCAATAATGACATGAATGTTTGGCTAGCCACAGACCCAGTCAATAATGACATGAATGTTTGGCTAGCCACAGACCCAGTCAATAATGAGATGAATGTTTGGCTAGCCACCCAGTCAATAATGACATGAATGTTTGGCTAGCTACAGACCCAGTCAATAATGACATGAATGTTTGGCTAGCCACAGACCCAGTCAATAATGACATGAATGTTTGGCTAGCCACAGACCCAGTCAATAATGACATGAATGTTTGGCTAGCCACAGACCCAGTCAATAATGACATGAATGTTTGGCTAGCCACAGACCCAGTCAATAATGAGATGAATGTTTGGCTAGCCACAGACCCAGTCAATAATGACATGAATGTTTGGCTAGCCACAGACCCAGTCAATAATGACATGAATGTTTGGCTAGCCACAGACCCAGTCAATAATGACATGAATGTTTGGCTAGCCACAGACCCAGTCAATAATGACATGAATGTTTGGCTAGCCACCCAGTCAATAATGAGATGAATGTTTGGCTAGCCACAGACCCAGTCAATAATGACATGAATGTTTGGCTAGCCACACAGTCAATAATGACATGAATGTTTGGCTAGCCACCCAGTCAATAATGACATGAATGTTTGGCTAGCCACCCAGTCAATAATGACATGAATGTTTGGCTAGCCACAGATCCAGTCAATAATGACATGAATGTTTGGCTAGCCACACAGTCAATAATGACATGAATGTTTGGCTAGCCACAGACCCAGTCAATAATGACATGAATGTTTGGCTAGCCACAGACCCAGTCAATAATGACATGAATGTTTGGCTAGCCACAGACCCAGTCAATAATGACATGAATGTTTGGCTAGCCACACACCCAGTCAATAATGAGCCACAAGTTACTGTTTAGATACCCATCAAAAGTATTATATGAATATTAGCATAATTAAATTGATTACTTTGAAGATGGTCATAATTACTGCATGGATGCCCTTACAATATAGCATAATGAATATGCAAGTCATTACTTTATAGAAGCCGCTACAATGTTTAATAATATAAAAGTATAATAAAGACGGCATTAATCACACACTTTGATATAAAGTATAATAAAGACGGCATTAATCACACACTTTGATATAAAGTATAATAAAGACGGCATTAATCACACACTTTGATATAAAGTATAATAAAGACGGCTTTAATCCCACACTTTGATATAAAGTATAATAAAGATGGCATTAATCACACACTTTGATATAAAGTATAATAAAGACGGCATTAATCCCACACTTTGATATAAAGTATAATAAAGACGGCTTTAATCCCACACTTTGATATAAAGTATAATAAAGACGGCATTAATCACACACTTTGATATAAAGTATAATAAAGACGGCATTAATCCCACACTTTGATATAAAGTATAATAAAGATGGCATTAATCACACACTTTGATATAAAGTATAATAAAGACGGCATTAATCCCACACTTTGATATAAAGTATAATAAAGACGGCTTTAATCCCACACTTTGATATAAAGTATAATAAAGACGGCATTAATCACACACTTTGATATAAAGTATAATAAAGACGGCATTAATCCCACACTTTGATATAAAGTATAATAAAGACGGCATTAATCACACACTTTGATATAAAGTATAATAAAGACGGCATTAATCACACACTTTGATATAAAGTATAATAAAGACGGCATTAATTTATGGAAGTGTTTACTATGGGATGGCTCTTGTGCGAGACAGACAGTATGTCAAAACAAGTGACAGACAGTATGTCAAAACAAGTGACAGACAGTATGTCAAAACAAGTTACAGACAGTATGTCAAAACAAGTGACAGACAGTATGTCAAAACAAGGGATAGGTGATAGAATGCTACATTTTTTTGGATAACGTTGTCAAGTGAATGAATAAGTCCGGAAACAGGTAGAAAGTTACAATAATATAATGACACATACCCTTTTTTGTTAAAATAAGTTTTTAAAAAAATCATCAGTTGAATGTCCTTAAGCAGATCACCCGGGTCCTGACCCACAACCCAGGGGGGGGGGGGGGGCATACAGAAATTTCTGGGGTTGCGGACACAGGTAAAAGTATATATTTTCTATATAAATTACATTTTGTTCTGGGGGGCGGACGACCCCCCCCCCCCTCTGCATGCCACTGGTTAGGGTTAGAGCCAAGGTTTGAAATTATGTGTGAGAGATGAAGATCATAATATTTTACTATTAGGGAACCAAACTCACTGAACTACCTAGTAGCTTAAATACAAAGTCAGACTAGTGATAAGCCTGGCAAAGTCAGATATTTATTTCAGGTGATCATTCATTAAGGATATGGGACACAAGACAAACTAGTCAAGTGCTTGCTATAGCTGCACATAGTGGAGAGATTCTCACTTGTGATTGGTGTAAATACAACCAGGTCAGTTGCTTGTAATTGGTGTAAATACAACCGGGTCAGTTGCTTGTAATTGGTGTAAATACAACCAGGTCAGTTGCTTATAATTGGTGTAAATACAACCAGGTCAGTTGCTTGTAATTGGTGTAAATACAACCAGGTCAGTTGCTTATAATTGGTGTAAATACAACCGGGTCAGTTGCTTGTAATTGGTGTAAATATATAACAAAGAATGCTTAAAAGATAAACCCAATATCAAACTTTAAATTTAAACTATTGCTAATTTAAACACAAACTTTTTGAAAGTTTTATATTTTAATCATTAAAAGATATTTTTAAAATTGATTTTTTTTGTTATATTGATGATCTAACCACATGAAACCAATGTTACAAATGTTTTTTATTCATCACTCATCTAATAATATATTGAAACAGAATGAGTAAATATTGAAATGAGGACTATAAAAATGTCAAATGGACAACAGAATGTGAATGAAAATTACTTGTTATAGTAACAGTAGGGTTAGGGTAGCAGTAGGCTTGTAAGAGGACCCAGTGATACAAATTCTAATAGTCGAATAGGTTTTATCAGAGGCTCCTGTGACATTACAGAACATGATTTTCTCTGGTGGTGCTGATGGTTTGGTCAAAGGCTGGGACCTGCGCAACCTGCACATTCCTTTATTTCAACTCAGTGCCCATAAATATGCTGTGCGCCGCATTAAAGTAAGTAAATACTTGCATTTCTTTTACTTTAGATTTGGATGTGACAAATTGTCTATATAAGTAAACTGGTGTAAAAGTTGACTGCTGCTCAAAAACAAATTAGCAGGGTCATAATCACCCCCCCCCCCCCCACAACAACGAACAACCATAAAGTTTCCCCCCCCCCCCCACAACAACAGACCACCATAAAGTACACCCCCCCCACAACAACAAACAACCATAAAGTACACCCCCCCCCACAACAACAAACAACCATAAAGTTCCCCCCCCCCCCTCAACAAACAACCATAAAGTACACCCCCCCCCCCACAACAACAAACAACCATAAAGTACACCCCCCCACAACAAACAACCATAAAGTCCCCCCCCCCCCCTCAACAAACAACCATAAAGTTCACCCCCCCCCCCCATACAGACAACATATTCCCACAAATTTTGTCTATAAGCTTTATACCAGTAGTATCACAAATTTTGTCTATAAGCTTTATACCAGTAGTATCACAAATTTTGTCTATAAGCTTTATACCAGCAGTATCACAAATTTTGTCTATAAGCTTTATACCAGCAGTATCACAAATTTTGTCTATAAGCTTTATACCAGCAGTATCACAAACTTTGTCTATAAGCTTTATACCAGTAGTATCACAAATTTTGTCTATAAGCTTTATACCAGCAGTATCACAAATTTTGTCTATAAGCTTTATACCAGCAGTATCACAAACTGTGTCTATATATAGCAGCAGTATTATAAACTTTGTTTATATATATATACCAGCAGTATCAAAAACTGTCTATATATAGCATCAGTATCACAAAATGACTGCCCTAACACCTGCTGTTTAAGCCTAGACTTTGACATCAAGTATGTTGCACCATTAAGGACAATACATTCTCTTGTTATTTAAGACATCAAGTATCTTGCACCATTAAGGACAATACATTCTCTTGTTATTTAAGACATCAAGTATGTTGCACCATTAAGGACAATACATTCTCTTGTTATTTAAGACATCAAATATTTTGCACCATAAAGGACAATACATTCTCTTATTATTTAAGACATCAAGTATTTTGCACCATTAAGGACAATACATTCTCTTGTTATTTAAGACATCAAGTATCTTGCACCATTAAGGACAATACATTCTCTTATTATTTAAGACATCAAGTATTTTGCACCATTAAGGACAATACATTCTTTTGTTATTTAAGACATCAAGTATCTTGCACCATTAAGGACAATACATTCTCTTGTTATTTAAGACATCAAGTATTTTGCACCATTAAGGACAATACATTCTCTTGTTATTTAAGACATCAAATATTTTGCACCATTAAGGACAATACATTCTCTTGTTATTTAAGACATCAAGTATTTTGCACCATTAAGGACAATACATTCTCTTGTTATTTAAGACATCAAGTATTTTGCACCATTAAGGACAATACATTCTCTTGTTATTTAAGACATCAAGTATTTTGCACCATTAAGGACAATACATTCTCTTGTTATTTAAGACATCAAGTATCTTGCACCATTAAGGACAATACATTCTCTTGTTATTTAAGACATCAAGTATCTTGCACCATTAAGGACAATACATTCTCTTGTTATTTAAGACATCAAGTATCTTGCACCATTAAGGACAATACATTCTCTTTTTATTTAAGACATCAAGTATTTTGCACCATTAAGGACAATACATTCTCTTGTTATTTAAGACATCAAGTATTTTGCACCATTAAGGACAATACATTCTCTTGTTATTTAAGACATCAAGTATCTTGCACCATTAAGGACAATACATTCTCTTGTTATTTAAAACATCAAGTATTTTGCACCATTAAGGACAATACATTCTCTTGTTATTTAAGACATCAAGTATTTTGCACCATTAAGGACAATACATTCTCTTGTTATTTAAGACATCAAGTATTTTGCACCATTAAGGACAATACATTCTCTTGTTATTTAAGACATCAAGTATTTTGCACCATTAAGGACAATACATTATCTTGTTATTTAAGACATCAAGTATTTTGCACCATTAAGGACAATACATTCTCTTGTTATTTAAGACATCAAGTATGTTGCACCATTAAGGACAATACATTCTCTTGTTATTTAAGACATCAAGTATTTTGCACCATTAAGGACAATACATTCTCTTGTTATTTAAGACATCAAGTATTTTGCACCATTAAGGACAATACATTCTCTTGTTATTTAAGACATCAAGTATTTTGCACCATTAAGGACAATACATTCTCTTGTTATTTAAGACGTCAAGTATGTTGCACCATTAAGGACAATACATTCTCTTGTTATTTAAGACATCAAGTATTTTGCACCATTAAGGACAATACATTCTCTTGTTATTTAAGACATCAAGTATTTTGCACCATTAAGGACAATACATTCTCTTGTTATTTAAGACATCAAGTATTTTGCACCATTAAGGACAATACATTCTCTTGTTATTTAAGACATCAAGTATGTTGCACCATTAAGGACAATACATTCTCTTGTTATTTAAGACATCAAGTATCTTGCACCATTAAGGACAATACATTCTCTTGTTATTTAAGACATCAAGTATTTTGCACCATTAAGGACAATACATTCTCTTGTTATTTAAGACATCAAGTATTTTGCACCATTAAGGACAATACATTCTCTTGTTATTTAAGACATCAAGTATGTTGCACCATTAAGGACAATACATTCTCTTGTTATTTAAGACATCAAGTATCTTGCACCATTAAGGACAATACATTCTCTTGTTATTTAAGACATCAAGTATTTTGCACCATTAAGGACAATACATTCTCTTGTTATTTAAGACATCAAGTATCTTGCACCATTAAGGACAATACATTCTCTTGTTATTTAAGACATCAAGTATTTTGCACCATTAAGGACAATACATTCTCTTGTTATTTAAGAATATGATGTAGAAATTCTTGTTCAGTTACACAGACAACCTCCTACTTATACTTTAGAAAAAACTGCTAGTACTGGTATACATCTTCCCCCCCCCCCCCAATAAGATATGGTAATTAATGGGGTCACTGTGAGTTCACATTAGTTTTGAAATAAGTTTGCCTATAGAATATAGAGCCTACACCATAGCTTGAACAAGGGCTAATAGAAATTGCTAGTGACGTATTCTCCCCATCCCTGCCCAACCTAGCAGTAGCACACACGTAGGGTACTCTGGGTCATGGAAAGTTTACATAAGCTCAGAAGTCTGTGACCCTTGTTACAAAGCGGGGCAAGTTTTGTCTAGATCTAGTCAACTTTTGCAAAATTCACTGGAAAAGCAGCATGAAATGATGGTAGAGGCGTGGGAAATAACCACATGTGCGAGACTAACGGTAGAGAGACTGATCTTGGGAGATATGCATTTCTTTAATGAAACTGCAACATTTTAGAGTTGACCTGAGCAAGATTTTCTCCTGATATCGTAGAGAGAGGCCAATAATGACCAGAGACTCATTTGTTTACTCCTGCAAATTGGTAACCTGCTCAAAATAATGTCTACTGGGGAAAGATTACAGCATTCTACCTTTTTTTAAAACTCCAAATCCGAAAAGTTTAAAACTCTAATTTTTCAAAATCCAGAAATCCATAAAAATGGAACCTGTATCATATGTAAATCACTACCCTAGAACAGCACTCACCCCAAATAACACAATTGTGAGGTATCAGAAGTGGTAAACACCACCACACTTGTGTGTCATATAATATAACTAGCCGTCCCGGCCAGGCCCTGCACTGGCATCTCTGAAGAACGTATCTGTAAAGGACCATAACTTGTGTGTTTAGTAATCAGCATTTATCCGGCATTGCCCACCCTATCCACAACCAACCAAAACACACAAAAAACGCAAACATAACACAAACGCAAATACAATCACAAACTAAAACACAAAAACAAACACAATCACAAACACAAAGAAAACACAAACGCAAAGAAAAAAAAGCAAACGAAAACAAATCCAAACACAACCACAAACGCAAAACCAAACTCAAACACAAAGAAAACACAAACGCAAAGATAAACTCAAAGTGTCCATAGTCTAGCCCGGGGCGCCAAATCGCACAATGACGACGTGCGGCGTAACCGCCTGATTCAACTTAGTAAACGACTATAGTACCCAACTTATTCATAGTCTTTTAAACTCACTTACGCGAACGTAGGTACCATAGCGTACACGGGAAGGCCCGGGGCGCCAAATAGCACCTTGTCGGGGTGCCGGAGAACGCCCGGATTTGATTCACTTAAAGACTATAGTAACCTTTCTTATCCATAGTCTATCGCACTGTTTAAAACGAAATTATGCAGCATAGCGCTTACATGATAACCCAGGGCGCCAAATCGAACCGTGCAGGGGCGCCGGCGGACGCGCCTGTTTCAAGTTAGTGAACAAAATAATGATACTCCAAGCTTATCCGTAATAGAAAAAAATAAACATATAGGATTTGTAGGACCTGGCTTATTAAATGTTATTAATTTAAAAAAATAATTAGTGAACAGTATGTTCAGTGTATAGAATTAAATAAAAGGCAGTATTAAAAATACCATTGCAATTAATCAATCCCCGCTAATTCTGTTATTTATTTATTTTTCTTAACACCAAAACAAAGTAATGAAAAGTAAATTCTTTCTTCACCCGATTTAATGGTTTTTTAAAGGGAAGTAACTGTGTTATCCAAATCAAGGGACGTTATGAAAACTAAAGGACAAAATGCAAATACATTTCAGACACAATTTTAGAAATTTTATAAACGTTGATACACTTTTAAAAATTTTTTATGTAATATTCATAATTGAAAAGTATTATTCTAAGTATATAAAATGAAAATTGTTTTTAAAGACTTTCAATAGTAATTTTTTAACTCATAAATTTAGACCATGAGCACTATAATAATCTAACACTTAAATCCATCTAAGTATCCACGACAAACATTTTACAAACATATAGAATTAAACTTT